TAGATCTAGGTTGGCTGGCGGCCCATTGGGCCGCCCAGATGTGTTGGCTGGCGGCCGCAGTGGAAAAATACCATATACTCTAGACTCTAGACCTTCTGCAAAGGGTCCTGTACCAAAAGTACAAGTCCTTGAAAAGCAATGCATCAAACATAAACCTTGATTCATATGCCATTGAACCGTTCAAAACAGAACTACCATAGCTTCACCTGATATATCTAAATATTCGGGTTGCTGACCAACAACTTTCACACACATAAATTTTGACTAGCCGCTTGTTTTCACATATCACTGTATAAAAATGTATAAAAATGTATAAAAATGTATAAAAATGTATAAATCAATGCGGACCTAAATTTATACATGTATAAATCAAAAAATATCAATTTATACATGTATAAATCACCCCATTTTCAATTTATACATGTATAAATTGATAACAAAATCGATTTATACATGTATAAAAATGTATAAAAATGTATAAAAATGTATAAATTCAATTTCTGAATTTTAAGCATTTTGCTTGTCATGCGATGAGCTTTTATCAAATAGAATTCATTTCTCAGAGTTGCCAACCCCACCACCTCATAAGTTTAGACATTCCCTGACTCCCTGATTTTTAAAAAATCCAGGAGTCAGGATTTAAGTTTTGCTGATTGAGAGCTTTGCTGATTGAGTGCAACAATGCTTTTTGTTTGCTGGCGTTTGCTGGCTCCAAGTGTGCGCTGCTCATGCGACGCGTCCTCAGCTGCCGGTACTGCTGAAGATGGAGCCTGCGCAGCCTAGGAGGATGACGTATGCGGAGCAGCTGGAGGCAATGCGGCCACCTTGCGGGTTTTGCATCCTGGCGGACGGGACCATCCTGCTGTCCAATCGGCCGGAGACCTACACGGCGGAGATGGTGGTTGATGCCTATGAGGCATGGCGAAAGATGAAGGCAGATGGCTTAGTGCGTGAGACCCGACCTGCGGCTCCAAGAGCGACATCCATCATCTGCTCAAGATGGCACGCGGTTCAATGTATATATTTTTTGCAAGAGACACAACCTGCGGCTCAATGAGCCGCATGTTTTTTTATACAGGAGCAACATCCACAGTGAGCTGCTTGATGAACACGCGATGGGAGCATGAACTCGATTTCAAGTTTAAGAATCAAAGTGCGAAAAAAACACCATTTGATCAGTTTTGGTGTAAATTAGAAAAACTTGAAATTGTATATCTCAAAAAGTTAAGTTCCCTAAGTTAGTTATAACTTATTTTTGACTAGTTTTTGATAATCTAGATATAGAACTTAGAAATTTCTAACTTTTGCTAACTAACTTGCAAGTGCCACATCTTAACATAAAAACTTGTGCTAGTTACAGAACTTGTAACCCCTTCGTAACTAAGTTACCAACCACTTACAAGATACTTACAAGTTACCTAGCCAAAAATGAACCGCCAAGTACGAGTTCGAGGCTCGCGATAGCCCTGAATGGATCACCGCGCAGGTACGCCCAAGCGTGCATCCTTTTGAGCTGCGCCATAACAATCTCTTCACCGGCCGCTTTGGCGTCCACCCTGAAGATGTCCAGCGGCACTGACTGCAAGGGCTCCAGCGCACGAGTCGGTTGCCTCCCCACCTCTTCGCTGACATACTCAAACAGAATGATGACTACATCGGGAAACTTTGCGAAAGTCCCCCCCGCCAGGCAAACAGTGGCGCTAGGAAGGGGCGACCATGGCGTAATGCGCCTGCGATAGTCTGCCCAGGACCGATTTCAACTCTCGGCCCACAACGCCCCCTTGCTGAAGCTTGTCCCGCGCCCAGTTTAAGATCCAGTCCCTCTACGAGGCATTCACGCCCCTCTCGAAGCTGGCCACATTCAGATAGCACTTCTGTCCCACCACGCACCTTCTTCCACGTCATGGGTATCTCCAGAAGCTCATACAGGAACAACCACATAAGCAGAACCGCGCGCCCGTCGCTGTAAGCCAGCCGTCGTCGGCGTAGATCCGGTGAAGTAGACCCATGAAGCGGCCCATGACACGATGGCACGATCGTACCGCCACACCAATCACTCGTCCAAACCAATACGCTGCACTTGCAATGCCGAAAGTTCCACGAGTGTGGACATAGATTTTTGCGTGGATTCGCCCGGCATCCGAAATGCTTGCAACCCCCAGTCTTCCTCACGAACTGGTATCAGCCTGTGCGCTCGAGCGATGTCGTACAGGACCGAAAAGCGCACAGCCTCCTGCTCTGACTGTCTCTCCTCCCGAATCCCGAACCTGCCTCAAGACAGCTGCTGCGTCGTCTATCAGCGGAAATCTCATCAGGCCCCTACCCGAATGCGTCGGTTGACATCAACACTGTAGGTCCCGTCATGGATCAGCCTGACGCGCCCCAACTCTTTGGGCGCGGCCCCCAGCGCTGCCACCGCTATAGGCGCCCACCGAAGCGACGCTTGGCCTCTTCTTCCTCAAGATGGTGCCCTTTTCCACCTCCTCGAGCACCTGGCGTGCAATGTCGGCGGCATTCTCCTCAGCTGAAGCAGATAGTGCGACAAGGTGTCCTGGAAGTCCTCGTCCGTAGGATCAACCGTCCACTTCCGCTTCTCCTCATAAACCAGAGGCGTTCTAGGCATCTCCATATCGACGCCCAGTGGGACTCCCTGCGCGGCCACATCGTCCAAGAAGCCGGCATCCTCGTCCCCCAGAACCGTGGCCACTGCCCGAAGCCGCCGAAAATTTATCTCGGAAGCTCTATCGCCCTTTCTTCTCTCGGGGCCATGCAATTCTCCTTCAACCACAAGTCCAGCCTCTCGCGGAACCCGTAGATCTCTCCTCCGAAGGGTGCGCCGCCCAGTTTGCCAGCCGCGGTCGACCAAAAGATGCCTTTTGCTCGCTCCTCGCCTTCCAGTTCTACCCAATCTTGAAAGGCTTTCAGGAACCACCTCGCCAGCTCCCGACCTTTCTCAGTCACTGGCGCCGTCCTTCTGCCCACCGGCCATCTTCCCGGTGAGCACAAGCCAGCCCCGTCATGTATGGGCCTGAGCAAGCCCTTGTACTTTGTCTGCATGGGTGGGCCAATGCCCGGACGACCAGCTGTAGCCCCAGCCGCTTCTGCCATGCCTAAGGTTGCACTGTTGTTGTACAATGCATTGCCACTGCTGCTCGCCGACCCACTACTTTTGCTCAATGTTGCACTGCCCAATGTACCCTTGTCGCTGTTCAATGTTGAACTGTCCAACGCACCCTTGTTGTTGCTCAACGCTGCACCGCTCAATGTTGCGCTGTCCAATGCACCCTTGTTGTTGCCCAACATTGCACTGCTCAATGTTGCACACGTTGCACTGTTGCACGCACCCTTGTGACTCACCTTGCAACGTTTCTGCGCCCTCTTTTCTCCCCCCTCTTCAGTCAAAGAGGGTGCAGCCTGGAGAGAGGAGAAAATGGCTTGAGCTATGGCTCGATCCATCCGCTCAGGATAGATGGAAGTGGCAGTAGTCTGAAAGGTATCATCTTGCGCAGTACGGGCCAAGGACACCGAAGGTGCACATTGGCAGAGGTCGCGTACTGGCCCCGTGTAGCTGCCATCACTGGAGAACTCAGGCCATGTGAGTGGCCCCCAATCAGCGAGATTCGCCAACAACCGTGTAGGTTTGCGGTAAGGCGCACCCCAACAGCACTGAGTGAATGCAACTGTAAACAGATGAAGTGGGTTTCCTGCGCGAAGACAATGGCGCAACTCGGGCAATTGCCAGATAGAGGCTGGTTGCATTCTCATATAGTCTTCTTCCCGCCCCAAATCCTCGGGATGCTCCCCGAAGATGAGAACCAGATCACCCTCACGTGTAGTGGGATGCTGCTCCAATGTTTGACCTTCAGCATAAACTGGATCAGGACATTGCCAAGGTCTGCATCTTTTCAATGCCTCTTCGACAGCCAGGGAAAACCCCAAGGATGTTCTCGGGATCTGATCATTGGCGGGCCACGACAATTGGCCCCTCTCACTCGGGACCAGGTAGAGCAGGGTGGCGTGATGAGAACCACGTGAAACAAGCCTTTTTCAAGCTCCTGCCATAGTTTGTCTTGTAGGGATCTGTCTGCGAGATCCCACTCGGGTGAATTCTGTATATCAACTTCACGCACTTCAAACTCTATGTTGGAGCCCACGGCCAGCTCTCGAAGAACAGAGGCCACTGAGGCCTTTCTATGTGCTCCACTGAACAGGTAGAGGACCCGACATTTGCGTGTGCCCCTCGTTGCGCTTTGTCTTTCCACTGGGGGAAGTGGGGCTGCCTCCCCCGTAGCGCCTCCTCAAGCGCTCTTGCTTGCCTCGGCTGGCCACCCAGCCGTGCCCTTCTTTCCGCTGCCATCACATGCGTGCATTGGATGATCTAGACTCTTCTATCTTTTTGGTCCTCTAGGACCTTCAACTCCCGAACGTGACACTTCTCTTCGATCGACGTCTTCGCGCCGACGATCCCTGCCACGCCCTGCCAGGTGCGGTTTTGTTTTGGCGCGAGATCTTGCTATACAGTCTCGGTCATCCCGTGCTTTCGCGATCCGATTCAGTCATCTCCGATGAGGAGACTTCTCCCGAGGATTCTTCCTCGAGAATGCTCTTTGCCTCAGCATCCCTCTTGCCGAAGCACTGTTGGCATGCCCTGTGACACTTCGCCGTACTGGGAGCTTCTTCTCCCAGTACCTCAAAAGTGGCGTAGTGCACACCCGGTTGTCGGCAACACTCCCCTACTCTGTGGAGGGTTCTGGTCTTTGGCCCCCCACAATGGAAACGACGAACATGCCCCTCACCCGCTCTAGCGGCGTGACTTCGGTCGCCTCCTCCGCGAGCTCTTCGTCGTTGTCTTCGACGGCTGCCATCGCATTTGCTTCTACCTTCACTTCCACGGTGTCATCTGGCTCTTCCACCAACACTACCGGGCCTGAGGTGGTCCAGTTTGGCCTCTTGCGTGCCTTCGCTGCTCCTTCCCCTGGCATGAAGGTCATCAGCCTCATCATCTGATCGTCACAATCTTCCTGGCCGTAGCCCATGCCACGCATCCTCTGCTCAACCAATTGCACCACCGTGGTCTCATCGAACGGATCCGAGCAAGCCATGTTCTCTTTGATGAACATTGCCATGACCTTCTGGTAGCTGAGCACGTTCGTCTTGACATTCCTCTCGTACCCCTCATCTGCCGATGGTCTCCATCTGCCGACCATCTTCCTCACATCCTCGGGTATTCTAGCAGCCTAGGCCCACGTGCGTATTGTCGCACGCTCGCTGTGTTCTGTCCACAGCACCCCAATGACCCTTCTCTTTCGCCCCCCAAGCACCACTGTCACAGCAGTCTTCCAGCCCACAGCGAGCCAGGACTTCTCGCTTATCCAGGCGTCCTTGTTGACGTAGAAGGGCAAAAGCACAACCTTCTTTCCTGGGCCCGACGATTTCGATCGGTGGACGATGCCTTTCAGGCCCCACTCCGACATCTCCATCGTCTGACTGGGTGTGCCCTTTGCGTCGTCGAATCTCATCCCAATCCATAGCTTCACAAGCCGAAACCAGGCGTAAGCCCTTTCTCAGCTGCGCACCGATTCATCGCAGACATAGGCCTCCCATGCCACTACCAGCGACACTGGTATCAGAAGCGCCTTTCTGGACTCCGGGATCTCCACGCTTTGCAAACGGAGCGCAGCCTCCTCCAGGGCGTTCTTGAATGACACTCGCGTTTTCCCCACTCCACTCCACTCCCCACCGCTGACGACCGGCACACCTGCTCGTTCTCTGGCACTTCACCTGCATGCTCCAGGTTGAAGACCGACTCTGGGAAGGACCTGGCGCATGGCTCCTCGACCATGGCTTCCAGGAACTCTGCGAATTGCTCCGGCGACTCGGGCCATGTCGTGCCATACGTCGCCTGCGTCCATCTAGCAGCTTTGTGCCACATCTTGACGTGCTTGCGGAGCGTGTTCGGGCGACGCCCCTTCGCCACCCGAATGAGTGGTGGACAAGGGAGGGTGGAAGGCCCTGAACGCGTAGCCATTTGGAGAAGGCGGTTTGGAAAGTGAGGAAGTACCTGGCTTTGCTGGGGTAGAAAGTGCTATTCATGTTCGCTGCAAGAAAGATGCGTAGGTGTGGAGGCAATTGTAATTGATCAAGGGTGAGAATGTAGTGGTCGTTGATGGTGGAGGTGGCCGGATCAAGAAGCAGTGTGCGGAGGTGGGCACAGGCACAGGGTAGGTCACTGGCTTGTGGCGGAGTGTGGAGGGTATCTTCCCAGGTGCGATGGTTGTGGAGCTGTGCTCGCAATGTTTTGTGTGCGGCTTCACGTAGGTGTAAATTTGGCGTGTCGCTGGGGACCGGGATGCTTGGTGGTGTCCACGAGCCTCATCTTACTACATCCGTAGCAACAACTCTAGAAACGTGAGTCTGCACGTATACTTGTAACATCTTGAATAAGGCCATAAGACTCTCAGATGACCTTATACACATCTCTTACTTCTACATACAGTAACCTTTCCTTCCACGCTCCCAGGCCATCCGTCGCCTAGTTTTCTATTTCCACAGAGAGAGAGAGAGAGACAGAGACAGAGAGACATTACTCCAAGCGATAGAATGGGCACATAGAAACTACATACATTCCAGGAAACCCAAGAAACGCAAAAGCTGAGATTCTGTGTAAATACCCTGAGAACCGTCCAAAAGGTGGATTTTTGGGATTGAACAGGGCCTGCTTACTACCAGCTACTTAAGCTTACCACCGCCTACCCGCCGTTGCCCCGTTTAAGTTAAGTTTCCCCAAAAATCTAGGAACCAAATGACTAGTGCGTGAGCTATCCTGCGTCCTACCTAAAAGCAAGAATGAAAAAACTGGACCGAAGCCGAGCGCTAACAGCGCTAGCTACCCGAAGCCCGGCTCCCGGAGGCGAAGTCGGTCGCCAGCAGTCAACGCTTCCAAGCTTCCGCGGAGCACCTGCACGCCACGAAAAAATGGCGTTTCATTTAACCTCTCTGCAAGGACCTGAAAATCAATAGAACCCATCCAAGAAACAAAGGAAAAACATAGTACAGAGGACCTGCTCTGGAAAGTTGGAATTCAAAACAGTCTCCTTAACTTTACAAAAACTAGACTCTAGACTCTGCCGTTTCAAATTTGCCACACAAAGACTTCTTTCTTTGAGGTCCAGAAGTTTGTAAATCCAGGCGAGATCCTAACATACTCCTTCACCTGGCAATCACAGGACCTGACCCATACTGTCTTATCACTGTGTCCCCCAAAGTCTGGCAGGCCTTGGCCGGTGCAAAACCTGGGATTCAATGAGCACAAGTTCATCAGAGAGCGAGAGCAGTGAGAGATCCGTTCACAACTTGGAGCTTGCACCGCTGTGACAGCAAATGATAGCAGGCTAAAGTCCGAAACCTGCCATCAGAACTTTTTGAACCTGCCATTGCAATGGCAGGAAACCGGTTTCGACCCCGTTCATGACATCTCGACGCAGGCCACGAAAGAAGTCCACGATGACTTGATTTATCCTGGCAATCTAAAGCTTCCAATCTTGTGCTTGGTCTTCCATCATCAATGATCTCTTGCTTGTCAGTGACAAGGCTTTATCCATTGCGAGATGCTTCGCCAAGACCATGCCAGTGCGACTGAATCGAGGTTCCGTCGCGGGCCTGGCAAAAAAGTCAAGAGCAAAGCACCGAGGGCCTGGCAAAGATTTATGCTTTGTACATGCTCCAGGCATTCCTTGCTTGCGCTGCGTCCCCCTTTGCTCTAATCCAGTGGGACTCGTCCCCGGCCTGCTTGGCCAAGGTCACTAAGTTTGCGAGTCGGTCCCACCTTATTTGGCAATGCGTTCGGTCCCTAGCAAGCTTGTCATGAGATATCTTCCAAGCCTCAGTTTGACATCTTGGGTTCCCACTGTAGGACAGGTCTATCATCTCCGCTGAAAATGATGCTCAGTAATTCCCGCCTGCGCGACTGCAGGAATTCCAAAGTAGTTCGTTTGCAACATGGCTCAGAATGCATAAATCCACCTGTGGGTCAGGTGCTTGCAGGGCTGACTTACAAAAGGTCAAAAGTAGGTGAGGACCTTGTCAGCTGCTAGCAGCTGGAAGCATAAACCATCATAAGTGACTTGAAACAATTCTGTCGCATGTCTATGTCTCTCAAGTCTTCCACAAACCTGTCAATGAAATGCCACCAACGGAATCTTTGGCCTCAACGTTGGGTTGGGATTGCTCAACAGCCTCTTCGAAGCATATGGAAGAGCCACCTGCTGCATTGACTACGGTAGCTGTTTCCAAGAAAATTATGTATATATATATATATTTTGATTCTAAAGTTTGCTGCAAAAACCTTATAGTATCTTATAGTTTCAATTGTTCATCTGAAAACTTGAAAATGCAGGAGATTCACATCCGTTAGGTCATAAGAAGAGGTGCTTGGCTCTGCGACTCTGCGACCACCAGTTTTTGGATTCGGAAACATGTTCTTTTGTTTTTTCTGTTTTTCTTTATATATTTTTTTCTGTCGGTCTGTCGGTCTGTCTGTCTGTCTGCCTGCCTGCCTGTCTGTCTGTCTGTCTTGCTGTCCTTCCTTCCCTTCCTTCCCTTCCTTCCCTTCCTTGACTTCCTTCCCTTCCTTCCCTTCCTTCCCTTCGTTCCCTTCCTTTCCTTTCGTTCCTTCCGTTCCTTCCGTTCCTTTCTGTCCTTCCTTTCCTTCCTTTCCTTCCTTTCCTTCCTTTCCTTCCTTCCTTTCCTTCCGTTCCTTCCTTTCCCTTCCCTTCCCTTCCCTTTGTTTCCTTTCCTTCCTTTCCTTTCCTTGCGTTTCCTCCTTTCTTTCCTTCTTTCTTTCTTTCCTTCCTTCCTTCTTTCCTTCTTTCCTTCCTTCCTTCGTTCCTTCTTTCCTTCCTTCTTTCCTTCCTTCCTTCCTTCCTTCTTTCTTTCTTTTTTTTTCGTTCTTCCTTTCTTTCTGTCTTTCTTTGCAGCCAAGCCTGCCTCAATGATGCTGAAGTCTGGGTTCAAGCACCTCACTACGCAGACTGATGTCAGAAAGTAATGACTTGAATCACTGACGGGAGCATGGACCCAAGACTGTTCTGTCAGTTCCTGACACAGGCCTCAACAATGGAGGTCTTGCAATCAGGGCACATGCAAATCCCCTCTTGCATCAGCAAAGAGCGGATCACCAAAGAGAACCTATCAAGGAACCCAAGGCGAGCGAGCATTCAGACAAAAGAACCAAGCACTGCCAAGGGATGATGCAGCTTACGCTTGGCAACACGCTGCCTTTCAGGAATGCGTATTGGGAACTGGTAAACAAGCTTTGAAAAGCGCCCAGTGACCTTGGAGGCCCAGCTGCAACAGCCAAAACGAAGGCCAAAACTTGAGTACTTGCAGACAGACACTAGAAGCGATGGCCTCCAACCTACAAGCGATATCCTCCAACCTCAAAGCGATGGCCTCCAACCTAGAAGCGATGGCCTCCAACCTATGGCCTCCAGCCTAAAGGCGATGGCCTCCAACCGAATTGCGATGGCCTGCAACCCAGAACCGATAGCCTCCAACCTACTAGCAACGATGGCCTCCAACCTAGGGGCGGTGGCCTCCAACCTCATAGCGGTGGCCTCCAACCTAGAAGCGATGGCCTCTATCTAACCTAGAAGCGATGGCCTACATAAAGGTTGCCGGTGGGCTCACAACTGCAAGGCAATTGGATCACTTCCGCGTGGAGGATCACTTACGCATCGATTTGAAGAGCACTTGCGCATCGATGGCTATAACATCGCATCTCACATCTGCGCGCGACCGTTACAGATGGCCATCTCTGCGGTCTAAGGGTTGCCATCGATGACTAACCTGATAAGTTGGGAGTCGCGTGTGTGCGCGCGTGTGTGAAACCTTGGAGTCATAGGGAACCTGCTGGTTTTTACGTTAACTGCAGGCGGCACAAAAACACCTATCTCTTGCTTGCGATATCGACGGGGAGACGTCCTGTCGACGTACCTGCAATTTCTGTGGCGTTGAGCACACCACCACCAAAACAACCTCCCGTTTTTATTCGCCGCTGCCGCAACCTCTCCAACAAGCAACCACTGAACAATACAGCTGGCTCGAGGTTACCGTGCCTCGTCCACACTGCAATGGCAGACCATTACCATAAAACCCCTCAGTTCCTCGCACCACCACCAGCCTTTGATCCTTTCTACTTTCCACCTCCTCCCCATCCTGCACCACAGCCCCTGTTCCCTCCACTCCCACCTATTCCTGCTGCCACACTCAATGATGCCCAGACAACCACACTGGCTGACGCGATCCTCCGGATCGCGCAAAGCGTCGCTGAAGCGACCGTGGCGCACAAAACTACGGGCTAGCAACCTTCATCTGTTGTTTCATCCTGCGACCACAGTCGCTGCAAAACATGAGATCATCAGCAGTTTTTCTTTTTCCGTTCCTACAATCTTTCATTCATAACCTTTTTTCAACCAGTCACGCTTCATCAGGATTAACATTTTCTCCCGTAGCCATTTTGCCACCGAGCTTGTTATCACCTTCCTGCTCTCTCCCCACTTATCATCACCTCTGCCACGAGCGCCCCCGCGCCACCAGAGGAAGGATTTGATACAAGTTTTTGGGCGTGGGCTTATGCCCACCGGCCAGGCTCTTTGCTCGCCGTGTTGACGGACGTGAGCGTCCATCGGTTTCAACTTACCGGAGTTCTGCACAACGACGCCACGCTGCAAGATTCTGGCACGACCCTTTCCAGCAAGAGCCACCCAGCCCAGTTGGCGAGCTTTTTCAGCGCTATCGCCTTCACATGAACAACGCCGACACACAGGTCCGCCGTGCTCTGCAAATTGTAGACACAATTGGACGCTTTCCTGTCAGCGCCTTCATCGACCCCAACACCCACCCCACAGAGCCACCTATTCACCCCATCCTGCCAGCGGGCAGCGGTTTGGCTCCAGCATTCCGCCAACATTCCCTATCGACTTCCCACTCACACTGTTGCTGCCACTCACCACATCACCACCCAAACCTCACCTCCTCTTTCACCTCTTCTCCTCCACACTGCACAACGAAGACTGGGAGTGGGTGATGTGGCTGAAAGTGGGGAAAGTTGGCTGTGGAGACGTGTGTTGTGGTGGAAGAAAAGTGTTGCTGGGCCGCGGTGAGGCGGCGCTTCCGCGCGTGGTCGGCTGTGAGGTCGCCCGCGGGTTGGTGTCTGAGGATCGACCTCGTGCTGGCGCGCCGCCACTTGGGTTGCGATAGTCGCTTGGGAGTGCTGGTGGTGGTGGTTTTGGGACAGTGGGTCCCGGGATGAGGTGGTCGGAGTTGGGCTGCTTGTTCGCAGCTGAAGTAATGGTCGCGACCGGAGAGGGCTCGGGTGGGGCGTCCAAATGCAGGGTAAAGTGGCAGGGCGTGGAGTTCAGTCTGTGAGGGTGATGGGAGGTGTAATGTGCGACTGTGGTGCCTGGGCGGTGGCAAAAGCCGCGGAAACGCGATGGGTACCGGCCCAGATGACCGGCTCTGTCTGCTGCTCAATGTGGAGTCGGCGGGGTGGTGGTGTGGTTTGTTGCGCTTGATGGAGAAGGAGTGGTGAGAGAGGTGGCAGCGCCTCGGTGGCGGCCACCTGCACCTACTGCCTCCCCATCAGCACCCACTTACCAAGCACCACCACCGCCACATCCATGGCCTGCTCCCATGGCAGAACACCACTAACCCCCACACTTTGATTCCTCTGGACGTCCGCTCCCACTCAGTCAGCAGCCCTATGTTCCTGAAGATGACCCGCGGCATGCCGACAACAAGTGATCGGGCAACTCGCTGTCCATGAAAGCGCGACAGTTCCCCAGCAGTGGGAAAATCTTTTGGGTCCTGATATTTGATTTCTATTTTTTGTAATAAGGGCAAACTAGTTTGGCATCAAATCGTTGTCTCATAACGGACGCTTGTTCGCCTCACCTTCTGATTTTCGTGAAGAGGACCAACCACTATGCACCACTGCTCTCCAAGATCTCAGGTCTCACCCGCACCGCGAACAAAAGTTGATTTGATCGCTTGAGACTTTTTAACTCCTCTTTTTGAGAGTGTAGCTGCGGATTTGTCGTGATTGACCACTGATTGTCTTTACTTTACTGCGTCTCATATTGCTCACTGCTCACCGTCACTTTTTTGCCCAGTTTCATCTAACAGCTATTTTGCTCGAACACGTTTGCTTTCGCTCCCTCAGCCACCCGTTTCTCATCTCTTCGACATGGACGCGCAGTGGCAACAGCATTATTCGCAGCACTATCTCCAACAACAGGCGCAGACCACACAGGCGCCCTCCCAGTACACGCCCACACACACCTATGGGCCGATGACTCACGCCATTCGCACCCACCAGGCACATCAGCATCAACCTTACCACCCATCTCCATACCACAGCCTCTCCTCCTGCGCACCACGAGTTTCCTCCGCCTCCTCCTCCCCCGGCGCCAGCCGCCACACCAGCAGCACCCGTCACCCCCACCGTCACCTCCTTCAATCACAGCCATACGCACTCTACTCAACCGGCACCTCCTCCCGCCGTCCCCTTTCCCAAACCACCAACTCAGGAATCCTGGCGCTCCACTGACACTCATTGGGATACCGCACCCCCCAGCTCCAACTGATCTACCCTGCGCTTGCCAACATCTCCGTACCCTCCTGCTGGATCCCACCTGCGCCACTACAGACGGACACTACATTCTTACCCCGGACCAACTGCATCTACCACCTCACTTGCGCATTTTCCTAGATGCCAACATGAGCAGCACTTTCTACCCCACAAAAGCTTGCTACTTCCTCACTTTTCAAGCTGCCTTTCGAAAAATGGCTCCGCACCCAAGGCTTTCCACCATCCCTTGACCAGCACATTGAACCTTTCCTCCAACACCAACGGCGTCTTCATGTCGCCCACCTCAAACAACAGCCACGCTTTACTGCCCGGCTCCTTCGTCAGCAGCAACAATTCCTTGGTGACAAAGTTGTCCTCCACCATGCAGACCATGAGCTTCAGCAGCTCCGCGTTTTCTGCCCACAACGATACTTCAAAGGCGCTCTCAACACTTGGCAAGCGCCCGAACTGTTCCAACCATTACCCCACCTCACATTACACAACATTCAGGGCCACATTACTGCCACAGTCCCCACCAGCCTTCGAGCCCGTTACAAGTGGGTTCCGCAAAGACTTCACTATCCCCTACGGCATTGTCCATCTCAAGGCCAAGAAACAGTGGCAGAAAGGCCGCACCATCATCTCTTACTACCAATCACTCGCCGGCAACCTCCTCCGCATCACTAGCAGAGCTCTCGACATCACCCTTCAACACCTTTTCCCTCAACATCCAGGCCAGCTTTCCATCCCACAACTATGGCACCACTTCCACGCATATCTCTCCCAAACTCCCGCCGACGTCACCCTACATGCCACCAATGATGGCCTGGTTGGCTTCTTCAACTCTGTTCCCCAACACCGTTTGATCGACGCTGTCCACTCCCTCGTCCAGGAACGGCAGATCCAGCACTCCACACACACCGGCAACCCCTACCACCATTCCCACATTGGTCGCCACCATACCAGGCATCCTACACAACGCACCATCCACACTTCCGACATCACTACCATTGTAGCTTTTGCGCTCAACACTTGCATTTTCCGGGCTTGCAACCACACTTACAAGCAGATCCGGGGCGCTGGGATTGGCTCCCAGTTGTCCCCAGCCCTATGCAACGTCGCCATCGCACTTATTGAGCATTCCTGGCAGCAGCTACACAACAACTTGCTTCACCACACAGATCTCCATTTTACATACTACTGCTATGTGGACAATCGGTTTATTGTCCACAAGGAACACTTCCTGTCCCATCCAGCCATATAAACCCTCATCCATCACAACTTTTTCGGCGATCCGGTCGAACTTGAAACAGTGGATGACTTTCACCTCCTCGGATTCAACATTGACCTCCCTCAGCGTACCATCACCTACATACAACCCAATCAACCTTGGAAAATCCGAGATGCCACCAGCGCCGGGAGCAAAAGGCTCACACTCTCAGGCCCTGCGTCACAACTCCACACAATTTACACCTACACTTACCCAGCACACGCAGCGGATGCAGCGGCCGACGAGCTCATCAACCTCTACGTCCTCAAGGGACATGCAACAACAGACTGCCAGAGATTTTTGAAGTCAAAAAGACCGCCATTTTTCCACTTGCGCCGGTACCGGCACCGTGTCTGTCCCCCTCTGTTTCCAAGATTTTGATTTGTTTCCACCGCAATTTCAAGGGGGCAAGGCCTCCAGCGATGAACCTTGTC